CATGCTTGTTCAACTAGTATAACTTGATCAAAATCAACAACACAAGCCGCTGAGTTGCTTGGTTAGTGTCCAAAGCTTCCTTGTGCTGTAACAGTAGTGTCAACCACAACGTGTCCATACTACACTCAGTGACAGACAAGCCAAGAAGTTCTTTTCAGACCTGTCATAAGTGAAAGACAATGAGAACGATAAGAACTTAAGCTAAGAGTGCTACTGAAAGCAATTAAGCGCAGATTAAAGTACTCAGAAAAAAAACATATCCCCTGGCAGCACAAGATGGAGTTGGTAAATTTGAAACTATGACACCAATCATTTTGTGCTTTTTGAGGAAATGTATGCTATATATTCACAAAACATACTTTGTATTTGGCAGCAAATTCTAAGTTCATAAAAAACAAAATAGAATAAAATAATTAATTACAAAGGATTTTAAAAATCTGCACCATGCAGAGCTTTCCAAATGCGTAACACCCTAGTTTAATGCAGTATTTCAACACAGGAAAGAAATGCTTGTTATTAAAACATGATAAATAATGAAAACAAATTTACTAACTAGGCATCTACTGGCAAAGACAAAAGAGATGCCACAGGCATTAACTTAGGTGGCAAAACATAGTAGAGAATCACAATGACACCACAATACATGAATATTACATATCAAGATTGTCAGTACTCCCTGACAGGTCAAGAGCTAGTCATGGATAGGATATAAGCCTCCCTGGTTATCATCCCTTCTTTCAGGCATTTGAACATGACATGTTGATGGTGATCAAAATGTTTGTAATTTCCAGCATGGACAAAAGGAAAAGGTCATGCCTGTAAAGAGAAATACCGGTGGAACTACTGTGGCAAATTTAGAGGAAAAGGTCTGCCTGCACAAGGTCTGCCTCAGAGCCACCTCTTCATATTTAAGGAATACAGACTGAATTTAGAAAATGGTAAGTGAATGCAGAGAGAAGGGCACTACCAGTCACTGAATCTGAATACACTGTGTGGAATATTGTCTTTACGAAGACAGTATCAACTCTGCCTTTATGTTGTTTGTAGCAAATTTTGGGTGTAGCTGCAATGGAAATTCTACTACTAAACTCCATTTAGCAAGCAGAGAAGGAAAACAGAATTGCAAAAATGAGCAGCATGCAAAAAACCCCAAACAACAACCCTCCCTAGGATTAAGTTTCAGTCTTGTTGTGGTTTGAGCAACCAATGCTGCAGTTTTGCATCCTCAACAATTGTGTCAACCCTGTCATGCTGCTTTCTCCCATGCAACGTTATACAGCAGAATAAAACCCCACAAAAAACACCACGTCAAACTGCTCACACAACTGCAATATTCATTATTTTTATATAAGTTAAGGTGAAGCTTTAAGCAAATACAACATAACTACGCAACTCATGCCATAGGCAGGGCTTTGGGTTTTTTGATCACAGGCTCTATATGAGACATCTGGCCTGTTGGTGGCAGGTGGGATGCACCTGTCCCAGAGGGGGAAAAGGCTTTTGGGGCAGGAGTTAGCAGGGCTTATTGACAGGGGTTTAAATTAGAAATGAAGGGGGAAGGAGAGATAATTGGGCCTGTTAGGGACAGGCCCAAGAGAAACATGCCAGGGCCTCTAGGATGGTGGACTAGGGAGGATTTTCACTTGGTTGTTTCATTTGAGAAAAAGGATAGATATTTAGAAATCATGGAAGCACCTGAGAAGGGTCTGGTAGGAAATGGAGCCCACAGTGGAAAGAAGGTGTTGGAATCATTAGATCATCTGAAGTGCATCTATACCAATGCACACAGTATGATCAACAAACAGGGGAGCTTGAAGCCATGATACACCAGGAAAATTATGACATAGTGGTTATCACAGAAACATGGTGGGATGCATCACATAACTGGAGTGCCACAATCGATGGCTAGAAGCTCTTCAGGAGGGACAGAAAGGGGAGGGGTGGAGTGGCCCTGTGTGTTAGAGAATGCTATGAGATCCTGGAAATCAAGTATAGTCATGATGAGGTTGAGTGTGTTTGAATTAGGTTAAGGGCCAATAAAGCTGGTATCACTGTGGGAGTCTGCTAGAGACCTCCCAACCAAAGCAGTGAGGTGGATTAAGCTTTCTATAAGCAGCTGGGAGAAACCTCCCAGTCACTTGCCATTGTTCTTGTGGGGGACTTTGACCTCCCAGGCATCTGCTGAGAATACAACACAGCAAAGAGGGAACATTCCAAGAGGTTCCTGGCATGTGTGGAAGATAACTTCCTCACACAGCTGATAAGTGAGCTGACCAGGGAAGGTGCCCTCCTGGACCGGCTTCTTGTGAACAGGGAAGATCTTGTGTGGGGAGTAAAAGCTGAAAGCCATCTAGGGTGCAGTGATCATGAGATGACTGAGTTTTTGATCCTTGAAGAAACAAGGAGAGGGGTTAGTAAAACTGCCACCTTAGGCTTCTGGAGGGCAAACTTTGACCTGCTCAGAAGAGTGATTGACTAAGTCCCTTGGGAGGCTGCCTTGAAGGATAAAGGAGTCCAGGAAGGCTGGACATACTTCAAGAAAGAAGTTCTAAAGGCACAGGAGCTGCTGTCCCTGTGTGCCAAAAAAGTAAGTGGGGTAGGAGACCAGCCTGGCTAAATAGGGACCTTTGCCTGGATCTTGGGAACAAAAGAAGAGTCTATGACCTTTGGAAGAGGGGACAGATCACTCATGAAGTCTATAAAGATGAAGTGAATCTATGCAGGGTGAAAATTAGGAGAACCAAAGCAGAGCTAGAGCTCAAACCAGCTACAGCTGTTAGGGATAATAAAAAATGTTTCTGTAAATTCATTAACAGCAAGAGGAGGATTAGGGAAAATCTCCATAATTTATTGGATGCAGAGGGAATCTTAGTAACAAAGGATGAGGAAAAGGCTGAGGTGCTCAACACCTACTTTGCCTCAGTCTTTAGTACTGGAACTGGCTATTCCGTGGACATAGCGCCACATGAGCTAGGAATAGAAGAACGAAAGAACAAGAAATTATGGCCAATGACAGAATAAAAGAATGACAGAATGACGAAATGAGAAAATGAAGGAATAAAAGAACGACAGAACAGGAAAATGAGAAAATGAAAGAATAAAGGAAGAACAAGAAAAATAAAAGAAAAACAGAATAAGAAAATGAGAAAAGAAAGAATGAAAGAATGAGAAAATGAGCAAATAGACGAAGAAAAAATTGACAGAATGAGAAAATGATGCAAATTAATGAGTAAAAGAACAACAGAATGAGAAAATTATACAAATGAATGAGTAAAATGACAGTCTGAGAAAATGATGCAAATGAATGAATAACAGAATGAAAGAACAAGAAAATGATGCAAATGAATGAGAAAGTGGTGCAAATAAACGAATAAGAGGAAGACAGAATGAGAAAATGGTGCAAATAGATGAACAAAAGAACGACAGAACGAGAAAATTCTACAAATGAACGAATAAAAGAATGATAGAACGAGAAAATGAGAAAGTATATATTAATAAAAGAACGACAGGATGAGAATAAGATGCAAATGAAGGAATAAAAGAACGACAGAACGATAGAATTATGCAAATGAACGAATAAAAGAACGGCAGAACGAGAAAATTCTTCAAATAAACAAACAAAAGGACAGACAGAACGAGGAAATGAAGCATATGAACGAATAAAAGAATGACAGAACGTGAAAAATATGCTAATGAAGGAATAAAAGAACGACAGAATGTGAAAATGTGGCAAAAGAACGAATAAAAGAACGGCAGAATAAATGAATGGGTGAGGAGTGATAAAGAGAGAGGGAGGGAGGGGGTGACCAAGGGAGGGAAGAAGTGTTGGGCGTGGGAAAAGATGGAGGGAACAAGGTCGGAAGGGAGGGAGGACTGCAGGAGGGGGTGCAGAGAAATACTAGGTTTGAAAGTCTCTATTTTAGCAGTTCTCGGCTCCGCGGTTAATGCCCGAGCTGCTCATCCAGCGGCTCTGAAGCCACTCGTAGGAGCAACAAGGCAGCGGCAGCAGCAGCACCCGGCACCGCCCCGCTGCGTGTCCTGGAGAACCCATCAGTCTGATGTGTGCGACACCCTTCTTGCGGCGAGGCCGGTTAGCTCAGTTGGTTAGAGCGTGGTGCTAATAACGCCAAGGTCGCGGGTTCGATCCCCGTACGGGCCAGATGATGCTTGCATTGTTTGTTCCTTTGAGTTGAGGAGAAGACTATTACTGAACGCTGCGTAGCTTTTTGTTCGGTTGGGGTTTTTTGCATGTTTAATTTAGAGGAGGAAGGGTAGCAAGGAAAGTAACAGCGCGGTTCCCTACGGGGAGCCTGACTCCCACGCTGAGAGGGCAGGGAGCGTGAGCCATCCTGGCGGGATCCCTTCCCGGCGGGGCCGGGAGGGCGCGACAGCCGCGCTGGGAACCTGACAGCGCTGCGTGACACATGTGGTGGCTGGAGGCCAAACCCTCCCCATCGCCTTCCTCGTTAGTATAGTGGTAAGTATCCCCGCCTGTCACGCGGGAGACCGGGGTTCGATTCCCCGACGGGGAGGTCACGCTTCCTTTTCCTAAGTTGCCGGTAGATGGAGGCCACCTCCGCCTTCCTTTTCCCCACAGGGTGGGTAAGGAGACGAAGGGGGAGAAAAAGGCCAAATCAGCCCGGGGTTGGGAGCTGCATGAAGTGCTAGGTGCAGGGCAGCACCAAACAGATGCCGGATCTGCCCCCAGTCTCCGTCACAAAGGAGCCAGGGCAGCTCTGGTGTCTTGTTCCCAGCTGAGATGGGCAGCACAACACGAGTTTCTCCTGAAACTGGACAGCCAGCCCTTGCTTCCCCTCAGGTGGGACAGGCCTCGACCCAGAATCTCCCAATCACTGATCAGTCAAGCCCTGCTCCTGCAATGCAGCTTAAAATACTTACCCTCCCTCACATCAATGTAGATACCATCAAAACACACGTGGTAAAGTACCACCTTTCCCACAACTTCCTGAAAACCAGTTTGAGCACACCGGAACAGAGCAAAAGCATACCAAATATTCCCTTTATTCTTTACAAAAATATTTCTAAAACATCCCAACATTTTCTGAGTAAGCAATGCCATTTAGGCACAGATAATGCTTCCCTTCCACGGGGAGAACATTTCACAGTAGTTTGCCACTTTGCAGTCAAACAAATCAGTTGAGGAAGTTCTTAAGCATTCACAGGAGTCCCGGGAGGGCATTGCCAGCCCTTCACTAGGCAGTATCAACACGGGGTGGTAGCATTAGATGATCAGTCTTAAGTATCGAGCTCACATATTTGAAAGTTACAACAAATCTACAGCATTATTAAGGCACCAGTTAAGAGTATAAATATTTAGCTATACTAAGTAAACACCATGCCCACAGCAGCCGGAATGAGCTGGTTTGCAGGCGTTCCTCTTCCTTCATAATGGCTCAGGGAAAGCAGTTCATCTTGTTCACCATCTGTGTCAGTGCACCCAGTCTTTGGGATTGCGCAGAACCTCCAGGATTTCTGCTTCTTTGGAGCTCTCTGGAGGGGTGTGCATGTACTCCCACCTGCAGGGAGAGGGGAAACTCACTCAGACTGCCCAGCTGGCTGCCACCGACTCGAGTTGCCTCTTCTGAGAGCGCAAAGCTGCACACAAAGCTCACATCACATAGATGAGTAAGGCTAAAAAATCATTAAGTTCAGTAAAAACAAATAACTCTGGAAGAGACAGGAGAAATGTTAACTTCATCTTCTTCCCAACTTCTGGAAAGGCTGGAAGAACAGAAAAAGAGCAATGCCCTCTCCCCCACAATCCAGCCAGGTTTATTTTCAAAGATCTTTTAGCAGCCTCTTGTGGCATAATAGTATCAGCAGAAAAACAAGTCAAAAAAGAATCCAGAGAAAAGAGTGTGTGGATACAAGGCTGAAGGGAAATTGCCAGCTTCAAAGTTTTTATAATTTGATCCTGATGCAATACTTTCAGCCAGCCAGGGCAAGTTTTTTCCAGAAGCTGGACTGGAAGCACTACAAGTCCATATGGAATCTTGGGTTTCGAAACAAAGTTGATGAGAAACCACTTTTTATTGGAAAGTCCATTAAGAGGCAAAACACAGAAAGAAAAGTGACTGCAAACCAGAGGGGACAAATGTCTTTTTTCTTTCTTTTTTTTTTTCCCTTTTTTTTCTTTTTAACCCAGAAAGGACCCATCCATGCTATGAAGCCAGCTATTTACATTGATGAAAACATGTAAAATCAGAACATCCCAGCAACAAAATTAAAAGACAGGACACTGATACAGCACCAGGTCAAGGACACCTCTAGTGTGGACAGTGGGACAAAGCTATATGATGAGAACAGGACTTGCCTGCATGGTTAAAGTTAAAAGGTCAGTTTTTCTAGCAAAGGCAGGTGAGAGTAATGAAGTCTTACAAATAGCGGGACAAAGGTATATGATGAGAACAGGACTTGCGTGCATGGTTAAAGTTAAAAGTCAGTTTTTCCAGAAAAGGCAGGTGAGAGTAATGAAGTCTTACAAAATTCATAGTAAGATCTGTGCTGCTCAGCATATCTAAAAGCAGCCCAGAAAGGTGAGCAAATATTAAATGACAGTTTGCTGACATTACAAGATTAAGAAAGGTAGTTTAAAATGTAAAAAGGCAGTTTAAAAGTAAATATCAAGCCAAGCAAACGAGCAATACAACGGTGGGTGGAATTCACTGATGATAGATCTGAAGTGATGAACACAGAAAAAAGTTACATATACAGTGAGAGACTAAGTTAACTTTTATTGCCCAGATTATGGAATCCTAACAATTGTATGAAAAAGCCTGCTTGCTGCTTATCAGCTGTCAAAACCAGCAACAACAAGGAATAATGAACTACAGCATCATTATGCCACTGTGTGAGTCAGCAGAACCCTTGCATCTTGGATACACACGTAACTTACGTTGCGTGTTCCTGATCCCCAGCTCAGAAAGGGCACAGAAAACTTAAGCCTAGAGAAACGTGGCAAATGTGATCAAAGGTACAGAACAGTTTCTGTACAAGACTAAGAGGGGGAACTCTCAGCCTGGAAATCAGACAAGGAAAACAACCACAAGCCTGAAAAACAAGAACTGTTACGGAGAAAATGAAGAGGAAGCAAATCTAGTTACTCACTGGAAAGCTGAACAAGGTCATCAGGCACAAGTAGAAAACAAAGAGACACTTTTTCATGCAGTTAAAACTGTGGAACTTTATGCCACAGGCTTGTCAGGACTGCCAGAAGCTGACCTGGTTTCCAAGAGCTACTAAACAAAAAACCATGCAGCAAGGAAGGGAAATTTATTGAGATGTACTATGCATAAAAAACACTGCTTTTTTTCTTGGTCAGAAAATATCTAGGCCATACATTATTGGCAACCGGGCAAATGTCACCGGCCAGAGAAAGGATGTCTGTGTATTTGGCCAGTTCTTGTATTGGGCATGAACTAACCACTGGTAAAGAGATTGGACACCAGCAGAGACCTCTGATTTAATCCTATAAAATACTTTAATAAGAACAGTGCTGTTCTGGTTTGGTGGGTTTTTGGTAGTAGGGAAGGGCTCCAGGAGTAGCTTTGGTAAGAAGCAGAGAAGCTCCCCCTGCTCCAAAACCCAGCCAAAGATCTATTAGAGGGACAACAGATGCGCATCAGTAATTAGCATATGGAAGAACTGTAACACCTGAGCAGAGAAGCACTTAAAGGAGAAAAGCTGTGGTGGGGAAGGAGAGGTGGTGCTGGTGGTTGGTGAGGAAGAAGGGGAAGAAGGTGCCCAAGCAGAAGTTTCCCTGCAACCCATGGCGAGATGGCAGCT